TCATTGTAATTTCTAGTACTTTTTCCGGCTCTAGAAGTATTGGTCCTCTAAATATGCGAAAAACTGATGCCATAATTCCAAATACATTTTCAACTACTCGGCGTGCTCGAGAAAGAAGGTTTTTTGGCGTTTCCTTTTTCGTGTACTCCCGAGTATGGTGTAATATTAAATTATGAACGCAGTGTTGTATTTAGGTTCATAAAAATATTATTTTTTATTGAAAACACATATACACATATTATATTTATGAGATTACAGTATTTCCTTTTAATTATGGAAATTATATCACTTATAGTGATTTGACAATTAAAAATACGTGTAGCAAGGAATAGGCAATTTATACAATTTAATTATTGGGACTCACGGTTTCCTTTTACCAATATTTGACTGTATGTGGTAGGTAGTTGACTGGTAATTGTATTGAACAGCGTCTGTATGAGTGCTTCCTTGACTCGTAGACGGTGTTGAATATACTGGCGAGTATAGTCTATACCAGGGGTCTTCAAACTACGGCCCGCGAACAAGTTTTAACCAGCCCGTGGCCCGCGTAGGACGCATAGGTAAATAATAAATATAAATAAAAAAATTATTTCAAAAATGTATTTATATTATATTATATTTATACCTATTTATTTTTATTTAGGTATATTGTAAAGTAAACAATATTTTGTACAAAAATATAAACTAAACATATTATTTATATAGGGAGGTACCTAATATATTATCATAAAATTAAAAATTATATGTGTTAATAAACTTTTGGCATGCTAAGAGCATTTGATTTTTTTTTGTGGCCCTTGAATAAAAAAGTTTGGAGACCCCTGGTCTATAGTTCTAAACCAAATAAGAGCGCACCGGGCGGCGCACAAAAACCGGTCATATCACGCGCATATCAGAGAGCGCTACCGTTGTGCGTTCCAGCGCCACCAGGGTCAACCGCTTATACAGAGTGTGTTATATTGTCACAACATTTTAACGGTCTTTAGCGGTAACACGTATTTTGGTTTTTTGTGCGCATTCGCTGTTTATTGAATTTTTTTAAAAAAAAAACAAAAAAAAGTTCTATTATTTTACTATGTAATACGCGGTAGCGCGTTGTAACTACAATTTCCTGTATGTACGGCGGCAACATCGTCGACGACGCCGATCATAGCCGATTACGGCGACCAATCACAGAGCTAATAGACCCGTTGTTGGACCGAAGTCGCCAATAAAATATGATTTGCGACCAGTCGCCGATTGGGCTACCTAAAGAAGTCAATTTTACAATTTTGGGCGATTTTTAAATACCATTCTAAATTATATATTCTGTTTCACGAAAAAGGATATTTTATAATTTTAAAATCAAATTATTTTTTTTTCATAAGCAAACAAAAATAAATACTTTTTGAGGTTATCCTGGTGAAGAACTAAGTGTAAGTGTAACCCTGATAAAATAATATTATCAAAATGACTGGGGACCATATTGTCGAGGGGTCTTAATGCCTCAGTCTTGGTATATATACTTAATAGAATTGTGGCGAACCAGTGCCCTCACCACATACTCCCTCCCGATGTCGGTCGCGCTCCCTGCGTTGGCAACACCGCTCGGCCCGCCGTGTCGTTCGCGACCGCGAAGTGTCGGGCGGCCGCCAACGGTCTCTCGCTCGGTAACCGTCAACCGACTCACACGACGCCGTTCCGAGCACCGCCGACACTTTTTGCCACTGGCTCATCGCACTTGTTAAATTTACGTCCGACTTTTAATAAATATTTATCTACTCAAAAATCATCTCCGAGTATATTTATTTCATACTCTTTCGTATGTTGGCCGCGTAAGTTGTGTAACTTCCTCTTAACCTACGCGCGCCACAGAATGTTTACCGGGGACTCAATGACGCGGGATAAATTTGTCAGAATACCAAAAAAAACAGTAAAACATGCTTAAATTTTAAAAATAACTTTTTTATTATTATTTATACTTCAATCCAATATAGTTGAGAGTGTTAAGAGTGTTAAGACTCGACAGTCGACAGTCTTAAGTTACGAAATTGTGATGGGAAAGTATGCGAAGTACACAAAAAAATACAACCCAGATTGGGAAAATTCTGAAATTTTTTCTGGTAAATATTATTAATTATGAAAATGAAATACTAATTTTATTTTGCTCATTTTTAGTACTTACCTATTTATATTTTATAGGATGGCTTCAGCAAGCTCCAGAGGCATTTGCTGGTAGGTGATAAGCATTTTGTAAGCTTTGTCGGGTACCATTAAGAGCGCACAAAACAGATCTAATGAAACACTCAAATACAAATACTCATAAGCACAGAGCTAACAGTATAAATATTACAAAACAACCGGCTTTATCATCATTTGGTAAGTTACACTTTAATGAAAAAAAAATGTAGTTTTCTGAAAAGTAACGATTATTTTAATTTAGGAATTATAGTCAAAACTGATACAGAAAAAATTAGAGATCTTAAATTAGCAATGCACATAGCTACACATTCTGCAATTAGGTCGATCGATCATCTCGGTGAACTTTTGAAACATTTGGGTGGACCATTTAATACACTTGAACTACATCGAACCAAATGCTCAAAATTAATTCTAAATGTTATAGCCCCAGCATATTTAAAAGAACTTATTGATGATATAGGTTTGAAACCATATTCCATAATCCTCGATGAATCAACAGATATAGGTACACACAAGTATATGGCTTTTTGTGTCAGATACCATAGTGTTGCTCTTTGTGATATGGTTACCGATTTTCTTGGATTTGTGGAGATTGAAAAAGCTACTGCAGAAGTATTGAGGGATGTATTTTTAGACTTTTTAGTTCAATCCAAATTAGAAATAAAAAATTTAATTGGAATTGGCACTGATGGCGCAAGTAATCTTTGTGGTAAAAACAAATCATTGTTTACATTACTAAAAGAAATAGTACCAGATCTTTTTATTAAATGTATTTGTCATTCGCTTAACATTTGTTCAGCCCATGCATGTGAAGAACTACCTAGTAGTTTGGAATTTGTAGTCCGAGGGATAAGAAATTGGTTTTCACATAGTTCCTTGAGACAATTGACATATAAAAGTTTATTTGAAGCTTTATATGATGAAAAGACTCCACCTAAGTTGCTTCAACTATCAACCACTCGTTGGTTAGCCTGGTATAGTTGCATAAAAAGTATACTAGAACAGTATTTGGCTTTAAAAACTCACTTCAATATTATAGCTCAAAGCAAAGAAAGTTGTTATACGTCTAGAATCTTAAATGACATGCTTAAAGATGATACCAATTTGTTATATTTAATGTTTTTAAAACCAATTTTATTTGAAGTAACACAAGTAAATATAGTTTTTCAAAGTACAAATGTAGATATTTCGAAAGCATATAGTGATCTTAAAAGACAATTGATTTCCATCATCAACAGAATTTTAAAACCAAATCATATAACAAATATAATTCCAAAAAATGCAGATGGGAGAATGCTTAATGTCATAAATGTGAAATTACTTAAAAATGCTTTAAGGTTTCCTGGTACCCATCTACCTTTAAACTGTATAGATTTCGGTTATCAATTTGAAGAGCAATCAAAATTAAGTATTGAAACTGGAAAATTAACAAAAGTTCAATTGGAATTAGTTCAACAAAGGTCATCCAATTTTTTGTTTCGTTTATGCCATGAAATGTGTAATCGATTTCCAGATAATTTACAAATAATTGAAAAAATTAAATACTTATCTCCAGCTGAATGTTTCAATCAATTTTCTAGACCAAAATTTTCTGAGCTTCCTATTGAGTTGGCTGGTAAGAATGCAAGATTACAAATATAAAAAATATTAAATATTGTATTTATCATGAGCTTTTATTTTATTGCAGGGCACTATCGGGTACTATTCTATAGATGCTATAGAAAGTCAATGGAGACAACTTGGTTCGTTTAAATACAATGAATTGATTACTGATACACCTATCAATGATATATCTATGGTTAAGTTTTGGATAGATCTAAGTTAAATTACAACAGCAACTGGAGATCATAAATTTGATGAATTGTGTCAATTCGCATTAAAAATAATTTCTTTGCCAATATCAAATGCTGTAGTGGAACGGGTGTTTAGTATTATGAATGTTACTAAAACTAAAATTAGGAACAGGATGGGACAGAAAATGTTAGTTGCTTTGATAAGTATAAAAATACATAATAAGGTAAAAAAAATTTGTTGTAACACATTTACTCCAACAGCTAATATGTTAAAAGAATTTAATACAAAAATGTACAATAGTGATGATAACCCTAAAATTGCCAACCTGCGTAATGAAGAAAATGAAATGTTTAATTCGATTGAATTATTAGGCGAATGTATTCCCTGAAAACTCTTTAAATTTTTACTATTGACTATGATGTATTATAAATCTATAAAATTCTTCAAAGACTGAATCTTCAGATTAAGTAGTTATTTATTTTTGAATTGTTATAATATTTGAATTAGTAAAGTATTTATGTTTTTGTTCATTTAGTTATAGACTTCTATACAAGTATGAGTCAAAAATAATTTCAGTTATTGATTTTTATAACTATAATATTTTTAAAAGTTAGTTATTAATTTGTTATCTCGATCACAACTCTACATTGTTTACAAGGTGAACTTGAACTGATAAGTGATATCATGATAAGAGAATTGTTGTCCCCACTCCCACTCCCACTCCCACAGACTATGTGGACGATAAATCGATTTAAATGATCGAGGTGATTTTGGGCGATATCAGCGATCTCTATTGGCGATTTAACTTTAAAGTCTCCTGGAAACCCTGTTTGTTTGCGCCAACGCGGTGCGCTCTTATTTGGTACAGACTATAGGTACCAACCGGCTATGTCTACCGGGTGATTGCAGCTAGATCGGCCAGACTTCAGCCGTCAGCTCACTGTGTATATTTGACCTAACCTAAAACACCATACTGCTCCTCATTTTTGCTACTCAACCGACGCAGATCACACGCAACTTAAATTATGGAGGAGTACAAGGATTTTTTGGAGCGTGAATACGGCGCAAGCGTCCAAAGGATGATTTTAAATAATGATCGAAGGGTCATAATTGACCTTTCGAAAATTAGTTATCATCTCCCAAACAAAAAACTGTTGTTATTACATCAGTTCCGCGAAGAGGAGGCGCTGTTGAGGCTGGCCCTCAAGAAAGTGGTAGAATCCTGTGACCACGAGTATGCAAATCTACATGAAGAGTTTTTTGTTGGATTTGATGGCTGCTTCGGTAGCCATCATGTCACACCTAGGACTCTAAAAAATTTTTATTTAAATAAATTGGTGAACGTCGAAGGAATTGTTTCTCGCTGTGATGTCGTTCGTTCAAAATTAGTGAAAAGTGTTTCTATTCATCCAACAACCTGCCAAATAAAAATCGTTCATTAGACGGTGCACCCTAAAATGAAGGACGATTCGATGATTGAGTACGGATTGTCCAAGTACAATGACATACAGACAATTCAGATCAAGGAGCTGTGCGAAAATACACCGCCCGGACTATTTTCGCGCGTGCTGGATATATCATGTGAGTACGACTTAGCAAATGTCTGTACGGTGGGGGATAAGGTCCTAGTCGCCGGGGTGTATCGTAACCTGGGTGATACGAGTGTTGCTAAATCCCAATTACTTAGATATGTGTCAAGTGTGGCGCCTATAGGTATAGGCACTACAGGAAGAGGGCTTTCGGGTGTTGGTTTGACTGCTCCTAAACAGGCGTTTTGGACCTAGTAACGGACAAAACCAACCCACCCCCACAGCATTGGTCCCCTAAAGGCAAAAAAGGGGCGGATACCCCACAAACAGCCACACCGGTCAAAAAAAAAATACTGATAATAAACCACCGGGGCCGTGCAGATATTGTGGGGAACTCCATTGGAACAACAAGTGTCTAAACAGACCGACCACGTCGGGAAACGGCAGGGGAGTCGATGAGGACTAGTCCCTCTCATCGATCCATCACCACCCCACCACCACTCAGCCTCACCCACTATCATTAGTACACACGGAAAAAAAAACAAGTAAACGAAAAGCGCGTAGTTCGGTAATTCAACACACTGAACAACCAACTACGAACATTTTTTCCGTCTCATCACCAGTCTGCACCCGTTCACAGACCCCCAACCTACACCACCCCACCACAGAACACACTCACCACACCGGTGACCCGTGTGTTCAAAAACAACCGGTTCATGGGGCATCCACAGATGTAGGGACAAAGGCAACAGAGACACGGGCGTTCACCTGCACAGGTGACGGGGACACAAGCACACACACCGCGCTTATCCCCGCATTAAGTTAGTCTGCGCACGTAAAGCAACAGGCGAGCAATGAGGCAACCGATGTTGACAGTATGGTCATGGCGGTTAACACCGACGACCAGACAGTCTCCGTCGCAGTTCAGAATCAGTTGACCTGCTCGACCGATTGCACTACGACTAATAATGGTGCGCGAACCAGGGACTGGAACCTTGATGATTTTGACGGTTCCGGTTCCGGTTCGGTTCTTACAAAAACTAAAATTTCGGTTTCGGTTTCTTTTCGGTTTTTAAGAAAACTAAAATTTCGGTTACGGTTTCTTTTCGGTTTTGAAAAAAAACTAGAATTTCGGTTTCGGTTTCTTTTCGGTTTCGGTTTTTAAAATAACAAAAATGTAGGTTTCGGTTCTTTTCGGTTCTTAAAAAATGAAAACTGAAATGAAATTCCTGTTTAGGTTTTATACTTGAAAGTTAACACTCATGTAAGAAATATTTGATAAGTTTCGTTGGCGTCAATACTAATTTTTCTACCAGATATTCTACCAATTGCTTAGGATAAAGGAAAGGACTAAATAACATCATGTACTATCCCGTTTCAAATAACACTTTTTGTATTTTACTAGATTACTATGTAGCATTTACCAATTACTACTTGTTGCATTATTATTCAGTATTTAAGATTTTAAAAATATTTTTTTTTTTATCACCAGTTACCAGATATTATATTTTCTTAGGCTAGAGACTTGCGGTCAGGGTTTTAAGAAGATAGTAGATTGGAAAGTGTATTCCACTTTCACAGGATTTTAATCTGATTACTTTATTTTATTCACCTCATAGATATTATATAATAATTATAAGTATGTGCTTTACCTTATAATAATCTGTAAAAACTAAAAAGTGAAAATCAAAACATTTTAGAATACTTAATGATAGTGACAATTAAAAATCATTTTACTCATACACAAAATTAATATAATACACATAATTACGTTAAAGATAAAATAAAACGTTTGAAATGTAAAGATATTATTCATACATTAGTCATAATATTGGTACTTATGACAATTAAATTATATACCTTTGAATATTTGATGATAAGGATAACTTAAACGTCTTAAACATCATAATGGATTATAATAAAATCTTATTTAAAATAAAAAAAAACTCCTTTCAAATTAAAATGTTATGTATTTTTACATAAAATTAAGTAATAGTATAATATTTAAAATTTTAAAATAAAACAAAACTTACACTTTGTTTTTTTTTTCAAACAATCTATTTGTCCTAACTATTAATTGATCTTCTAAATGTTTAGATGTAATATTACTCCTGTAGGGGGATAAAATAAATTTAAGCCCAGAAAATAGTCGCTCAACACTGACTTGAGTAGAAGGAACAGCAAACACTATTTTAGCAAGTACATTCAATTCGGGATGAATGTCTTCCATTGACTGCCAAAACTGTAAAATGTTTGTTTTCAAACTTAATCTCTTTTGATTTAAATAATATGTCTTAAGTTTATTTTCAATAAATTTAGAAGTAGAGTATTGGCTTGAACATGATATTTCAGGTTCAACACTTTCTTTTTCCCGTAAAAATTGTTCGAGAACATCAGAATTTTCATTAGAATCTAAATCACTTTCAGAGTTTCTGTCTTCCATATTTTCAACATTTTCATCAGTATCTTTTATGCCCATTCCATTATTTTTTAAATATAGCCAAACAGAAACCAAATGATTAATAGCCATGTTGTATTGGATTTCATCTAATGTAATTTTGAAGCGAGGATCAAGGAATACTGCCGCCAATAACACTTTGTTGTTCATAATGAATTGTTCTCTGTTTTCCATACATTTTACTAATTTATTTGAAAATGGATTCCCCAGTGACCGTGTTTCAATTTTGCAAGAAATCCACGAGCTATAAAAATCTGACAATGTCAATTGTTCATTCTGAAGTTTCTTAGTACAAATTTTGGCTGGTAGTAAAGTTTTTGCAAGAATTTCTATTTGCTGCCAATCAAAATTATTTAAACTAATTTTTTTCAATTTGGGGTCATTTGCAACCATAATTTGTATAAACTCTTTCAAATACTGTATCCTTTCTATCATATCATATGTTGAATGCCAACGAGTCAGACAATCCAGAATTGGCAGTTTCAGTTTTTCTTTTTTAATCAAGTATATATAGGTTTGGTTACGCAGCTTCCGAACTAATATGCGTACTTTGTTTAACAATTTTTCCACAATACTATCTTTTAAGCTGTCTATAACAGCTAGTTGTAGAGTATGCGCAACACAGCGAATACCTGTAATAAACAAACATTTTTATTTAGATTTTGTTATTGAATTAGCCATTAGGTAACATTAGTGTTTAATACTTTAATTAAAAGCCTTGCGATTCCACCCATTACTCATCATAATAATTCGCTAAATTAAAAAATTATATTAAAATTACCAGTAAAAATTGAACAGTCTCCAAAGCTTTGCAATTCAATTTCATTTAAGATTAGTTCAGTCTGTTGATAAGTCGAATCAACACATTCTATATCTTCGTTGAGTAAATTGCCAATTTGTTCTTCATCGAGTATTGAACAATCTGCATCAGTTTCACTATTAAAAAAAAGTATACAATAATAATTATAGATGAATAATATTATAATAAATATTACATAACTAAATTTAAGTTTTAACATTATATAATTATATTAAGTCTTTATCTTAATATATAAATTTAACTTCTATAAATAATTAAACATAATAGTTTAAGAAAAAAAAATCATTGTTTACCTATCACTACACTCATCATCTGAACTTATATTTGAGTGGGTTTCATTTGTATCATTCAGAATCACATCATCATTGACGGTGTCTGATTCATCGAGTAATTCTGTTTGAAGTGTTGTTGATACATCTTTTTCAACTAAATTTATCGCCTTAAGCATGTTTGCGCCATTATCCGATGTTATTGTATACAACTGCTTAGGATCAATTTTAAATTTTTTAAGAATATTTAAAATTGTCTGTTTTAAATAAATACCTGTAAAGTTTAAGCATGAATAGGTAATGCATTAAATGTAAATTAACAAAATATATCTTAAAGATAAAATTTACCAGTATGTGATTCAGTTAATTCTATTAATCCAAGTGTCTTGAGTTTAATAGAATTTTCTACAATATACTGCATGTTTACACCTAAAAATGACCTATTTAGTCGAGTAACTGCATCTAACTTCAGAGAAATGAGTTTGGAACTAGCTTCAGTTATTATTTCTTGCTGAATAAGAAGAGACTCTTCGTGCACATGTTTCCTAGAAGTAAAATGTAAAAAAGATATATTATTAATTATTATACAATAAGCTAAACTAGGATAAAAACAAAATTTTTACTTTATTATGTTTGAATTAATTTTAAATTTCTTCTGAAATCCATTTAAAACTGGATCAAGTATTCTTCGAAATCCTGTATCATTCAGCATACTAAATGGCCGTCCATTAATTGTGACAAGATCAACACAAGCATCAATAATTGTTTTTTCATTGATACTGACTTTGACATGTTTTGATTCATTCAAATTAAATAATCGTTGATGTGCAATGATCTTAGAAACACCATTTGTTTTTTTATTTATTTTTGATTCATTTACCAGTAACTCTTCATATTGTTCATTATGATGGCTTGCAAGGTGTTTTCTTAAATTTGTACTATGGTTACCCTATAAAAAAACTTAAATGAGAGGCAGTAAAATATGTGTTGTCATTATTATTAGATATAGGTTCCTATTATCATGTTATAAAAATACCTAGGTAAAAAGTAAACCCAACAAAATAATAATAAACACATGTTTATTAGGTAAAAATATACCATTTTATTGTGAACAAATTTTGCAAACATTAAATATATGCAAAAGGCAAATTAAAGATTAGTAGGCATTTATAATATAGGTAATATAGATGATCTATCATTATTTATAATCATAAGTCATCACATTTATGACAAAAATAATTTAAAACTGTATAGTTACTCTATGTAGGTACCTACTAAATTATGTAGAAAATTAATTGAAATAAAATAGAATAGGACCTATTCTATTTTATTTAAAATGTAAATATATTATCGGTATTACCTATGTTATAAGTTATTATACAAAATGAACCCAAGATTTTTAAAAATATTTGATATGGAAATTTATCAAGTGTGGGTTGACAATAATATTATGTTGAAAAACATACATTTTGTATTAAATATAATACTGGTTGTAATGTTGGAACAATTGGAATCACAATTAAGTAACGTCAAAGGTTACACACAATATGTACAATAACATTTACAATTTTTCTATAATATATTATTAATATAAAATAACAGACACATAGCTACCACCAATTTGATAAGTATCAATTAAAAGTGCCTGGCGCCTGCTGATGTAATTAAAAGTTATGTTATAATATTATATTATGATTTATGCTAGAATTAAATAATAAGTAGGAAAATAAAAATGAAATCTTAAATTTTAAATAGATACCTAATGATATTATTAATGATAGTTTACTTACTTTAATTTTGGCAGTGCAATGTTTACATGACGACTCTTTTAAATTACAATCAAATTTATAATATGAATGTACTTTAGATGCGTTAGGACGACCCATAATGAAAAAATCAAATGTCAAATATGAATTCTAAATTCTAATTAATATTGGAAACAAATTCAAAGTTCAAACAACAACAACTAAAACAAGACTAGTGTACAGCGACATAGCGGAGAAACGCGTTTACAGCTCAGGCCATAGACAAGAATAGAAGAACGCGACTGCGCGAGGCGTACTGTACGTCAGATAACGATAGTATTAATAGTAATAATATACACAATCATAAAATGCCTAGTTATTTATAAATATTAACCATATAATATATTGAGAATTGCTTGGTATTGTGGTAACTGGAACCCCTATAGGTACCTACATATAATAATATGCAGTAAATAATGACTTATTTTTATTGGGAATTTCTCATTTCTATTACATTATCAGTTGTTACGTACAAAATACAAATATTGAATGATTGTTTTTGTATAATTAACCTCTTAATAATAAATAATAATAATAGATTTACGTATTTGTTTAGTTCATATTATCTACCATGTACCAATGATAATTGACAGATATATTAAATAAAATTAATGATATATCAAAACCAAAATTAATTGTAAAAACCTTTAAAAAAAAGTATGGGTTGCGGTTAAGTTGCGGTTTTTAAATAAATATAAATAAGGGTTCCGGTAAGGTTCCGGTTTTTAAATAAATTTAAATAAGTGTTCCGGTGAGGTTCCGGTTTTAAAATTAATTTGAATTAGGGTTTCGGTGAGGTTTCGGTTCCCAATATTGAAAGGGTTCCGGTTCCAAAACCGGTTCTTTTCGGTACGGTTCCAGTCCCTGACGCGAACACGCCCAGACAAAATTCCGACCCCCGCGGTCGAACTCGAAAATAGTAACAGCCCTATTAGATTCGCAGGCACAAAAATCGCACGTAAACTTGATAGTTGCCCGTAAATACGGCATAACACCTCGCCACGGACCAACAAACACAGTCGGACAGATGGCAGACGGTCACACTGCAACAACCAGTGGCACCTCCACATTCGAAGCTAGGATAGGTGCACTCGATATAAAATTCGAAACTACCATCCTAGACAATTTGTATTGCGACGCGTTACTAGGACACGACTTCCTTGTAAACCATGAAGTCTGTTGGGATTACGCCGCGTGCACAATTCATATGCGTAAGCAAATTCGAACGTCGACATACTGGAAAGGGAAATCCCAACCACCCGCCACTCGTCACGAATTGTTACAATTAGAATTCGGAAACGACCCCGAAACTCGCTCGAAACTAACAAAGATTTTAAACAAATACGCGGTAGTATTCAGCGAAAAAGTAGGACGTACCAAACTAATTGAACACGACATTTTGCTTGAAGGCCCGTCCCCAATCGCGCTCAAACCATACCCATATCCGCAGCAGAAACAAACCGCTATCGACGATATGGTGCGTGATATGGGACTCCAGGGGCTCGTAGAACCTACCACCTCAACGTGGGCCGCACCAGTAGTATTGGCAAAGAAAAAAGACGGATCATTTCGCCCCTGTGTCGACTTCAGGCGGCTTAACGACGTAACGGAATCCGACGCGTACCCTATGATCTCAACAAAATGATTAGGCAAATGCGACAAATTTTCAGTATTTTTGATCTTCACTCGGGGTACTGGCAAGTACCAATACAAAAAAATTCACGAAAATACACGGCATTCCGAACACGTAGAGGGCTATTTCAATTTCGAGTCCTCCCTTTCGGTCTCAAAAATAGTCCAATGACTTTCGAGAGACTCATGAACGAAGTCATGAGGGGGTTCCAGGATGAGTTCGTACAAGTATACCTAGACGATATAGTTGTATTTTCAAGGAACGAGTACGAACATCAGGCCCACTTAGACAAAGTTTTCGAGCGTCTCAAGAGGTATGAACTAACGTGCAAAAAAAAATGTAAAATCGGACTACTCGAAATTTCATTTTTGGGGCACATTGTAGACTCGGAAGGCATACAAAAGCAACCGGAAAAAATTAGTCTGCATTGACAATTTTCCGTTAGGGACGTTAGGGACGTACGAAAAATTTTAGGGGTGTGCAACTGGTACAACCAATTCGTTGACAACTACGCGGTAACCATAGCGCCCCTAACAAATTTATTGAAACAGGGCAATAGGTGGAAATGGACGAATGTCGAACAACGCGCGTTTAAATCTGTAAAAAACGCGCTAGTCACATTGCCGAAATTGTCCCCACCCGATTACAGCAAAACGTTTTGCCTCCAAACAGATGCAAGCGAGATAGGAGCTGGTGCGGTACTTTTCCAACGGGGTGACAGACCGAAGGAAAGACGCATAATATCCTACGCAAGCAAAACGACGAGGTACGCCGCGGTAGAACGCGAGTGCCTAGCAGTAATTTGGGCAGCGGACAAATTTCGACAATACCTAGGGACCCGACGTTTCGAACTCCTAACGGACAACTCGGCACTAACGTGGTTGTACAGGGCCAAAGACAAAATTCAAAATTAACACGTTGGTCACTACAACTAGCTAATTTAGATTTTAGTACGGTACACGTCCCGGGAATACAAAACGAAGCCCCGGATTTGTTATCCCTCGACCCAGCACCCGGTGCACCCGTAGACGAAGACCGACTAGAGGAAAAATTGGTAGGGGCCCCCCGCAACGCCAACAACCAATGTGGACCTCGAGTCTGACCGCATCTTTTCTATGCTCAATAACCACGTCAGTGACGACACACCACTCACCGCGACGACTCTCGAAAAGTGGCAGTCCGAAGACGCCATGATTCTCGACGTAGTCGCTGGTCACAGGTGGGACGACCCCGCGCGGAACGCTAGAAGCACAAAATCGGGAAGAAACGCATACGTTTTTTCCGAAGGTATCTTACACGTAAACGTAGGCCCCCACTCACCCGTCGTGATACCAAAAACCAAAGCACAACATGCAATTTGGAAGTGTCACGACCACGTCTTATCCAACCATCCAAGTTGGAAAGAGACGTACCGGGTGGTTCGACAACGGTACTATTGGAAATGTCAAAAAAAATGACGTCAGGTTATATGTCAGTGCGTGCCACATATGTGCGTGCACGAAACCACTAAACTACCGACCCATTGCAACCTAGAACCCCCCGCAACCATGGGAAGTAATCAGTGTCGATCTCATGGGCCCATACTCACGCTCTGGTAAGGGAAAATCGTACATACTGGTAGCAACCGACTGTTTTAGTAGGTGGACCGAGGCTTCCCCCTTAGGAACAGCAACCTCTAAAACAATAATCGAAAGTTCTCAGTGATAACGGCCCACAGTTTGTGTCAAACGAAATGATAAACGCGTTAGAACGCTGGGGGGGGCACAGGGTTGGACGACTCCAGTCTACCACCCGAGGGCCAACCCAGTCGAACGCCGTAATCAAGATTTAAAAAAAGGTTTAAGCGCACAACTAGTCGAGGGCAAACTTAAATCTTGGGACACAAAACTACCTTCAATTCTATTTTTGATACGGAACAGGTGTAAAGAACTGACAGGCTATCCACCCGCGGTCCTTGTCCTCGGCAGGGAATGCAAGAGACCTGGAGATTGGGCGCTGTCTAAAGCTGCGCCGGTACACATCGAAAAATCACAGGGGGTGAGGGTAGAGGGTAGAGCGGGCAAAAAGGTAGTGTAAAACCCAGCACGAACACCGGCACACCGGTGAAGTTCGACACGGGCGACGTAGTCTACTAGAAAGCATACCACTTATCTAAGGCACATAAAGATTTTCATGCCGGGTTTGCACCAAAGTGGTAGGGACCGGTAAGTCTAGCGAAGCAGGTCGGTAAAGGAGTCTTTCTAACCGACCAACAACCGCCACGAAAAATACATGTGTCATGCCTGAAACGTGCTCCAATAGGGAAAAATTAAATTAACTTTTGTCTGTACTAACCATCATTTACAGACAACATGGCCGGTCAACAGCAGGAGAAGTGGCAGCAGGTGACTGATCTGATCCAACGGCTGGGGCTGGTGTCCAGTGGTCAGGATGAGCCGCGAACAGCCGCCCAGGTCGCGAGGATGACGACCCGCCAGCTTCTTCGGGACCCAGTGCGGGCGGCCATCTACAACCGGGGTTGGGCGGACCGAACAGCGGACACCCAACGGAGGCTGCGGCCACAGCGACCACCATCGACACCTAGCAGCCACACCCCGTCACTGATGAGACCACCACCACCAGCAACCACTCCTGCCCCCATGACACCTGATCCCGCAACACCTGCGGAGCCGACACCGGTACCCAGGAAAACGGGGGTACTTCCCGGTCCGACGGTAAGGGTGAGGACGGAGGCACAGCAGGCGCGGAATCGCAGGAAGTTCCAGCAGCTGAAGGAGAAGAGGAAGGCCAGGGAAAGTGAGGCAAGCCAACGACATCGGCTTGCCAAGCAACCTGCGCCAACCTCAGACCCGGAAGCAGCCTGCGCGCCTCCGACCGACTTAACACTGCCGGAAGCGATGGAGGTAGACAAACCGGCGCCCAAGGACCAAAAGTCCGAGGAGCCGGGACAGTCTACCAGCCAGACGCCACTTAACCAATCACGGACCACGGAAGACATAACCGAGGCGGATTGGTTGGTGGCGTTTGAGGGGATGCCGGAGATGGAGTACGACCACACGTACTACACTCCGGTAGGGTCCCCAAAACAACCATAACATCACCCACGGGAGCTGGCGAGTCTTCCTCAAGCGAAAGATAGAGGAAGTACAAGCCACCCCGACCCGTAACGACAAACCGACACTGGTACAAGTGTACCCCGTGTGGCGGTTTGGCAGGGGAGTATGACACGGTACCCAGCGGCAACCAGTACATAGTACAGGTACCGCAGCGACCGGTCTGCGCCAACTCTCCCACCACGCCACAGTGGCAAGGCGGGACGGGAAGTCAAGTCGCGCAAGACGAGTACCGGCCGCCGGCGGCTCACTCTCTTGCTCATCAACCGTTCGTCGAACTACACGTTAAAACCGTATCCGCACCGCACACTAAGTGTCGACCACGTTCGTTGTTT